TTGTTCAAATGTATGATCCTAAATCCCCGGTCACCGAGTTACACGGATGCAAGTAGTCATGCACTGTCAGGCATACTGTTACAGGGACCAACGTCAACAGATCTACATATGGTCTATGCTGTCAGTAAGAAAACTACCATTCCAGAATCCAAATACCATTCCAGCCGACTTGAGTTGCTCGCCATGATTTGGTCTCTCAACCGCCTTCGTCCCTTTTTACTAGGTATTTGCTTCACAATTAGGACGGATTGCCAAGCGTTAGTATACCTGAACCTCCACAAAACTACTAAGCCACAAATAGCGCGTTGGTACGAAGTTCTACAAGAGTTCGATTTCGTAATAAAGTACCGTCCGGGCTCACGAATGGGGCATGTAGATGCTCTAAGTCGGGTTGTTCTTGTTGAGGACGAACCTAAGTCTGTGGACGTGGAAATTTCTGAACGGGTCAATGTATTCACTGCAATGACCAAACAAGAAGCAGTACGTTTGATGCAAGCCACCGACCCGCATGTGAGGAACTTGATCGAGACACAACAAGATAATCCCAGACGTTCCAACAGCCAGAGCGGGTATGAAGTAATAGACGGTATTTTGTATAAGCAGTACAACGGGCGACCGTTATTAGTGGTTCCGAAATGTATGAGAAAGGGTGTAGTGATAGAAGCCCACGATTATGGTGGTCACTTCTCAGTGGATCGTACTGTTGCTCGTATTGTCGCTGACTACTGGTTTGCCGGTATGAGGCGTTATGTGAAACATCATATTTCAATGTGTGTTGACTGTCTAGTTCACAAGAAACCAGCTGGCCGTAGACCAGGTGAGCTGCATCCAATACCGCCGGGAGTACGTCCGTTCCAGATTGTTCACATTGATCACCTGGGCCCGTTTGAGATCACACCGTCAAAGAATCAGTACCTATTGGTGGTCATCGACAACTTAACAAAGTATGTGCAACTTTATCCATGCAGGTCAACCAATACTGCTGCTGTTCTGCGCAGTATGGAGAAGTTTTGTGCAGAACGAGGGATACCTGACCGTATCATATCTGATCGTGGTACATGTTTTACTGCACATGCATTTGAGGCTTTCTGTCAGAAGAATGGTATACGTCACACTCTTAATTCAACYCGTCACCCCCAAGCGAACGGGCAGGTAGAGCGTGCAAATCGAACAATTATACCGATATTAAGTGTTACAGCTAAGAATCATGGCGACTGGGATTCACACCTAAGACACATCGAAAATATGTTAAACACAGTGCCAAATAAATCAACTACCAAAACGCCGTTCGAGTCCTTACATGGATACCTACCGCGATTCAAAAACAATGTGTTCTCATCTGTGAGTCTGACGAAGAATGATTGGCAAGACCCTAAAGTGTTACAGTCACAGGTGAGACGTGAAATTGTTGAAGCACAGGAGAAAATGAAGTTAAAGTTTGATCAGAAACGCTGCCTTGGAGTAGAAAAAATGAAGTAGGCGAAGTGGTGCTGATGCAGAAACAACCAGACCCATATCTATCGTCCAAGTTACAACGCAAGTATCGGGATAGACCCTTACAAATCATTGAAGTATTGCCTAGTGACACTTATAGAGTGGCTGAGTTGTCAGGCCAAGGTCGGACGACATATGCAACCACTGCCCACGTATCACAATTGAAATCATGGAAGTTGTTGGATGCAGACAAGGACGGAGAGRCAAATCAGGACGAGGAGGCAGACAAGGACGAGGATGCAGAACAGGACGGATAGGCAGATCAGGACGAGGAGGCAGACCAGGACGGGGATGCGGATGTGGAGGCCTGTCAGTCAGTTCACTCTCATGACACTAACAAAGCAGTATCAACTCAAACTGTGTTTCTACCAGCCAATGATGTAGACCACGGAACCATTCCCGGTTCAAGACTTCGAAAACCTCCCAATTACCTAAGGGATTACTATTGTTAAACACCCTAATCACTTAACTTAAAGTTAGGGCCGTGTAAAAAAAAAATAATTTTTTTTTTTTGTTGTTTTGGTTTTGTTTGATTTTGTTATGTTCCTAATATATAAGTGATAGTAAGTGATAGGGGCCTACTCTGATTACTGTTAACTATATAATTTCTCAAGGCTGAGTCGTTTTTTTTTAAAAAAAATTCATGTTTATAATATATGATATATTGTTTAAAAAAAGGTTAATTGTTTATAACTTTCGGTCAGACAGGAGACTAAATTTAAAAAGGGTCATATTATACAGTTGAGTTCCTATTAAATAATTCAATAAATATTAAGTTTTTTTTGCTCTGAACTATTTGTCTAATGGTACTGCAGAAGACAAAGTAGTTCTTAATTATTATCAAATATTTATACTTTGTCGAAGGAAATATTATTATTATTATTATTATATTCCTATTATATTATTTGTATTATTTATAAGGTTGTCAAATGTTTATACTTTGTCGAAGGAAATGTTATTATTATTATTATATTCCTATTATATTATTTGTATTATTTATAAGGTTGTCAAATGTTAATACTTTGTCGAAGGAAATATTATTATTATTATATTCCTATTACATTATTTGTATTATTCGTGTTGATTGTATTATTTGTAAGATTGCAAGGAGTATGGGCCGAGGGCGGTCCATAAGTCAGGACGGTCGAATGTTAGCAACATGGCTACACTGACTTCGCCGTCCTGGTAAGGGCTGTCCAATGACCTACCCCCCTTTTGCAGTCAGTCTTACTACCGCCGTTGCAACCGACGCTTGTGTTGTACTCTTGTTTAGTAATGACCCGCCGTTTTCTTACATGTACACCAGTCATCAATAAACGTTTATTTATTAGTATTACATGTTTAATTATTTGAAACAACCCGTTATATTATATTGCTTATAAATACATGTGTCACAAAAAATAATATGATCAGTAAATTCTATTATTTAAATGATTACCATTGTTTACATATTTTACTATTACGGCATACGAA